TTGCTGAACAAAGAGACTTTGGAGTGCAGTTTCATTGTTCCTGGAAAGTGGAGTCGCAGTAGATAGGATAGTGAAGGAGGTGTTTAGTTTGCTTACCTTTATTGGTCAGTGCATTGAGTAAAGGAGTTGGGAGGTCATGTAGCAGCTGTACAGGACATTGGTTAGGCCACTATTGGAACACTGCATGCAATTCTGGTCTCCCTGCTATAGTGAAACTTGAAAGGGTTCAGAAAATATTTACAAGGATGTTGTCAGAGTTGGAGGGTTTGAGCTAAAGGGAGAGGCTGAATAGGCTGGTACTATTTTCCCTGGAGTGTTGGTGGCTGAGGGGTGATCATATAGAGGTTTATAAAATCATGAGGGGCATGGATAGGGTAAATAGACATGGTGGGGCAGTCCAAAACTCAAGGGTTTAAGGTGAGAAGGGAACCATTTTAAAGGGACATAAGGGGCAACATTTTCACACAGAGGGTGGGGCATTTATGGAATGAGCTGCCACAGAAAGTGGCAGAGGCTGGTACAATGACAACATTGAAAAGGCATATGGATGGGTATGTGAATAGGCAAAGTTTAGAGAGATATGGGCCAAATGACGGCAAAAGGGACTAGATTGGTCTAGGATATCTGGTTGGCATGGATGAGTTATACTGAAGGGTCTGGTTCCATGCTGTATATCTCTATGACTCTGTGACTTTATAGTAAATTCTCTCTCGCTTACAAGTAGAGACCAGCCATTATCAAATGAAGTGAGATCACAGAAACACTGAACAGATATTTCTCATGTATCTGCCTTGAAAGTAAAATAGAAAATTACACACCAATAATATAGGGCTAGATTTTGCCAACCTTAGAAGTGATGGGGTAGGTGGAAGGATGGCAAATTCAGTAGGCAGGTTGGTACCAGAGATTAAAGACATTTAACAGACTATAAGCTGGCAAATCCACAGGAGCTGATGGTACATATATGAAGATTCAAAAAGAATTAGTTGTACACATACTGGAAACACAGATTATAATTTTTCAAAACTCCTCAATAGTACAATGGTCCCAGCAGATTAAAATTCAATAAGTCTAAGGCTGCTATTTGAGAAGGAAGAGGAAGAGCAAAGAATGAACGAGAGGCCAGTTAACCTGGCAGTAATCATCAGAAGATGCTGAAATCTATTATTGATGAAGTGTCGCTTAAAAAAGAACATATTCTCTCTAAGTTTTTCAATGTTACACTCATCAGGACATTTTACAAGAATACAAATGCAAGGGGCAAAACCACCATTTGTACAATGTGCTGTCCTTGAGCAATGGGATATTCTGATCATTTGACAGGGGTGTTCAAAATCCTGATAGATCTCTACACAGTTGGTGGTTCTGATGAAGGGTCACAGGACCCAAAGCTTTAACTCTGCTTTGTCTCCATTCATGCAACCAGGCCTGCTGAGGTACTCCAGCAATATCTGTTTTTGTTAGTACAAATGCTTCCTGTTTACAGAAGCATTAAATGAAAACCAACACCAATATCTGATGAATTGTCAATATCCAAAGTAATCAAAGGATCTTAAATGGCATGTTAACATTTATTGCAAGGGTATTGGAAGCTAGTGATAATGGCATACAATTTTAAGGGGCTTTGGTGAGATCAAACATGAGGAACTGTGCTTTCCAAATCAAAGGAATGATAAACTAGCCTTAGAAATAATACAGCGAATGTTTACTAGATTGGTTCCTGCACTAAGAGGGTTATCCTTTGTTAAAAGATTTGAGCAAATGTTTATATTCTCTAAAGTTTAGAAGAATGAGGCAATCCCATTGAAACATGTAAGCTTCTGAAGAGGCTTGACAGGGTATTCATTGAGACGTTATTTCTGTGCACTGGGAGTTGACAACACAGGTACAATCTTCAATTAAGGGGCCAACCATATAAGACTTAGATAAGCAAAGTGTTCATAACAGAGAGAAAAATTATCTAAGAATCAGAAAGATTAAGTTGTCTTAAAATATTTTGATTCCTAATTAATCCCTAACAGGGTGGCACAGTGGCTCAGTGGTTAGTACCACTGCCTTACAGCACCAGGGACCCAGGTTCAGTTCCACCCTCAGGTGACTGTCTGTGTGGAGTTTGCACATTCTCCCCGTGTCTGCGCGGGTTTCCTCCGGATGCCCCAGTTTTGTTCCACAGTCCAAAGATATGCAGGTTAGATGGACTGGCCATGCTAAATTGCCCATGGTATCCAGGGATGTGTAGCGTAGGTGGATTTGCCATGGTAAATATAGAGTTACAGGGAGAGGGTGGAAGGGTATGGTGAATCTGGCTAGGATGTTCTTCAGAGGGCTAGAGTTGACTTGATGTGCTGAATGGCCTGTTTTCACACTGTTGGATTCTATGATTCTAGTTGAAAGTTGAAGTAATGAGATTCCATAATTTTTTAAGTATTCATTTTCAGTGCCACAGAGTTAGGTTTGTAGCAGTTAAGACTTGTAATGTTTCTAAAAAGGATACTTAAATTGCATGAGTATGTCCATTTTTCTGTGGTGAGTTTGATCCATAGCTAGGATCTCAGTACAGCAACTTCATACTATTCAATACATTTGACTGGGGAACTAGAGAGCATGATGTAACTCATGGTCAACAAATTACAAGCTTTCACATTAAATTGCTCATCTGCACTCACCTGATTCTGCTATGTATTATGCACATTGATGATAATTAGTGCCACTAAATACACACTATTATTTTTGCAGTAAATTTAGCCCATCACAAATTGAAAACATCACAGCACCATTCAATTTATTTACTGTCTGAGACAGGTCAGTGGGGTCAATAGCAATTGCATGAAAATAATTCAACAAACTTCTTCTCTCATACAGACATATGAACAGGGAGCAGAAATAGGCTTTTTTGGCCTTTCAAATCTGCACCACCATTCAATAAGATCATGGCTGATCTTTCTGTGTTCCAAATTCCACCTTTCCATCAATCCCCTATAACCTCTGATTCCCCTGCCTAACAAGAATCCACCTCATTCTGCCTCAAAGTTATTAAATGCCCCTTCTTCACCACCTTCTGAGGCAGAGAGTTCCAAGGTTCCACAACCCTCAGAAAAGGAATCACCACTCATCTCTGTCCTCAAAAGGGTGATGCTGATTTTAAAACAATTCCCTAACTCTAGACTCACCCACATGAGTAAATACATTTACCATGCCCCTTGTCGAGACCATTCAGGATCTCATCAACTTTAACTAAATCACCTTGCACACTTATCTTACACCCACTTTAAAACTGGATATAAAACTCAATCATATTACAGGCAAACCTTTACTTTGAGGTTCTTCATTAATTGTGCCATGTTAGACAATACAAACTCTAGCACTAACTGCTTTCTGGTTGGTTCCTGAATGTACTGCTCTAGGAAAGCATTCTACTGATCATTGCAGGGTACAATCTGTTTTCCTCCTGTTTATACGTGGAATAAAATCACTCTGACCACTGCTGTCCCTTTATCACAAGCATTCAATATTTCTTGCAAATTTCTTCCTAGTCTATGATTACTATTCAATGGCCTGTAGATCACTTCCACTAGTGACTCTTATTTCTTCTACTAATCCCTACCTCCACCTTAAACTGATTCAACATGCTATTTACCTGAACTAAGGCCATCTTTAACTACTGCATCAATACCACCTTTGATTAGCACTGCTTCCTCTCCACCTTTACAAAGCTTCCTATTGTTGTTGACTGTCATATATCCCTCAATATTCAGTACCCAGCATTTGTCATCTTGCAGCCCTGTTTCCATAATGGCTATCAGGTCATATTTATTCAGTTCAATGTGAGTGATCAATTCATTTACTTTGTTCTGAATTCAGATACAGAACCTTTAGTCTTTTTTGTTACCAATGTGACATATAGACTTCATGGTTGACATATTCTTAGATTGTTATGTCTCTGTCCCTTCCTGTTACATTTACCAAACTTAATCCTTCAAACTTCGTTTAGTTTAAAGCCCTCCCAATTTCCCACAGACTGTGAGAAAACAGACCAAGCATGGCTCAAGTGAAACCATTCTAATGGGTACAGATCCCATTTCCCACTGCAGTGTGTCCTGTGCTCCATAAACTGAAACCCTCCTCTTCCCTACAACAATCTTTGACTCACTCCTTTAATCTTATTTTTATCTTTCTCCAAATTGCATGTGGCTCAGGTAATAATCCTAGGGGGCTTTGAGGTCTGGCATTTTGATTTAGTATCTAACATTGTGTATTCTCTCAGCAGAACCTATTTTGTAGTTCTACCTATGGTACCAGTGCAGACTACAACCACGGATTCTCCTCTTCCCACTCCAAGTTCTTCTCTACCCTACAGCACATATCTTAAACCATGCACTGAACAGTGTACACAGCTGTCAGGAATCATGGTACTTGCTGAAGCAAACAATGTCAATCCCCCTCACTGTACTGTGACCTGCTACCACCACATTGTAGTTCATCCATTCTGAATGTCTTCTTTTAACACAGTACCATGGCTAGTTAGCTCATCCACCCTGTTCTCCTCACTCTCATACAAACATCAGAATAAATGGAACTAGACACTAAGGAACTAGTAGGAATCCAGTGAATTGTTCAGAGAGGATCAATTTTGTTGAATTTTTCAACCTATGGCCTACACTTAATTGTTTTTTATAGCAATATCCACAATTACTATTGATTACTTCCATAGATATGTGATGAACTTATGGCAATGTCCATGACTTAGCACTGATTCAATAAATGTTCAGTCACACTGTGAGGTTAAGGATGCAGTAATACAGGGAGAATCCAGGCTGCATTCCTCCATCAAATAGCACCATATATCCATGCTCTGGTGTGCCGTACAATCATATAGCTGTTCTTAATGTTAGTGCAAGCACACAAGAATTGAGAGATCTCCCTGTAAATGCTAAAACAAATCGCACATTTCAAGCTAGATATAGTGCAACAAATATAACTTAAAAAGTGAAAATCCTTACGTTAGAGAGGAAACGCCACTCTGTTTTATCATGATCTTTAACCTATGGGGAAAAAAACATACTAAGTTAAAACTTGCTTATAAATCTAATTCATCTTCCAAGTTTTTAATTGTACAATGCCCAAAGAAAGCTATGTTATATTGTAAAATGTTTTAACTTAATAAATCAACAATATATTTGCATGTAGTCAATGATCCAAATTGCCTCCTGGTTACCCATTAGCCCCTCAGAGAAGCCCATTTCACTCCTGTGTCCCCTCAATGGCCTGCATGATCCCAGGCCTGAGACATAATGGACATCAACTTCACCTCATAGATTAAAGACATTATTCCTATAAATGAAGGTGGTTCACCCACTACCTGCAGCTAAGACTCAATCATCCCAGAGAACATAGGAGTGATGAATACTTTCTCCTCTTGATCCTCCAGTAACACCACATGACCCCAAAATGAGGCTGAGGCCTGTGAGATGCCGACTCCACCTCACAGAATCAATAAATTCTTTTCAGGAACTATTCCCAAGAACAAAAAGAAATTAATCACCATAGCCACTGAAAACATATTGTCTTTAGTGTTGTCATTTCTCCTCTTGCCATCTTGATACTAGATGACACAAAACCTGAGTTCTGTGAGATACCAATTTCACTTCATGACCTTTGCTTTTACAGGAATTATCCATATTCAAATCCAATGGGAACGTCCAGTTTAAAAAAAGTGATACTTGACCAGCTACACCAGATTTTGATTTTTGAGTCAGACTAGTAGGCAACATTCACAAATTTTGATCGTAGAAACTCTACAGTGTGGAAACAGGCCCTTCGACCCAACAAGTTACACCGAACCTGAGAGCATCCCACCCAGACCCATCCCTCTATAACCCACCTAATCTACACATCCCTGAACACTATGGGCAATTTAGCACAGCCAATCCACCTAGCCTGCACATCTTTGGACTGTGGGAGGAAACCAGAGCACCCGGAGGAAACCCATACAGACATGGGGAGAATGTGCAAACTCCATACAGACAGTCGCCTGAGGGTGGAATTCAACCTGAGTCCCTCAAGCTGTGAGGCAACAATGATAACCACTGTGCCGCCCCTTAAATTCCATTTGCCACTGTTCAATCCATCTGGCTAATCCTCTATATCTTCCTGTAATCTGGAGCTATCCTCCTCACTATTTACCACCCCATCAATTTTTGTACCGTCTATGATCTTACAGATCATACCTGCCACCTTCACGTCTAGATCATTATCATAGAATCTCTACAGTGTGGAAACAGGCCATTTGGCCCAATGGGTCCACACCAACCCGCCGAAGAACATCCCACCCAGACCCATCCCCATCCCCCTACCCTATTCCTGTAACCCTTAATTTTCCATGGCTAACCCATCCAGCCTGCACATTCCTAAATACTATGGATAATTTAGCATGGCCAATCCATCTAACCTGCAAATCTTTGGACTGTGGGAGGAAACTGGAGCACCCAGAGGAAACCCAAGCAGACAAGGTGGGAACGTGCAAACTCCACGCAGATAGTTGCCTGAGGGTGGAAGCGAACCCGAGTCCATGGTGCTGTGAGGCAGCAGTGCTAACCACTGTCCTCTTTCTCTTCTGGCAATTCAGTTGCTCTCAAGTGTTTTTTGTTTTGAAAAAGTCCTTTAAGGAAGGAAATCTGCTATCTTTAGCTGGTCTGGCTTTACTGTAACTCCAGACCCACAGCAATGTGGTCAACTCTCAGCAATTAGGGATAGGCAGTAAATACTGGCCTAGCCAATGATGCCCACATCCAGTGAATGCAGGCACCTAATCACAATTGGAGAAGGTGTTCCTCAATAGCAGGCAGCTGGTCAGAGATATGAACTCAACCTGTAATGTCCACAGTCATGAAGCCTCTACTAAGAGGTATGCACTCTGCAGGCAGCCATCTTTGAGGCATTTAAATAAATATTTTATTCTGACCACACTGCTGCCTTGTGGACACACCTTGACTGAAAAGTGTGAATTTGAAAGAACTGACATTAAATTTTTGGGACATATAAAGCAAAAGGGATTATGATAGGCCTTTGAGAAATTAAAGCCATGTAGCGACTTTCCCAAACGTGTTAATGATATCAGTGGCTCCTTTGAATGTTAAGGATATTCACACCAAACCTAGTTACAATCACTGCAACTCAGAAACCTATTGCAAAATGACCAATAGTAGTTTTGGAGTATTGACCGAACCACAGCATTTTAGAAGAAAAAGTAAAAGCTCAGCCCTTCAGACATATTGATTCAATGTAAATCCAGGTTTGTTCATGATGGTGGCTGCAGATGCATCCGTAACAGATTTGGGAGCTATCCTGGCCATGCAGGTACAACAGGAAGGTAGCAGAAAACCAGTCTACTTTGCTTCTAGCACAATCAAAATAATGTTATGTGATCACAGAGAGACATATTGGCAAAGTTCAGGCACTTGACTGAATCTGGTTTGTTTGATGAGATTGAAATTTCAAGTTGAGACAGAACTCAAACTGCTAATTACCCATTCAGATTCCAAGTTTTCTAGTTTTCCAGTATTTTTCTAGTCTTTTTTTCCCAGAAACCAGAAAAAGAGATTATCTTTCTCGGACGCACTTATTGCATGCGGACTTTCCTTGTGGCAGGGGACGGAGATTTTCTGACCAAAAGCAGAGTGGAAGGCCGGATGTTGGTTATGAGACATATGGAATGTGTGAAGTTAATTTATTTAGTTATGATATGGCTGCAGAACTAATAATGGTGGGCATGATCCCAAACTTCAGTTCTGAAGTAGTACTGGGCTCACAACACAAACTCTTCCTCTCGCCACAGACGCAGCCAAACCTGTAAAATTTCCTCAGAATTTTCTGTGTTTGTTTTAACCCTCGCCCCCTCCTCCATGTCTGGGGCCTACTCCCCCATATCCCCAACTCTTGGACCTGATGCCTTTTGTCCCCACTCTGGACCCAACGTGCCCCTCCACTGCTCCAGAACCAATCCCCACCTCAGGCACAAACACCCTCTTGCCCAGATTCAAAACACCTTCCCCCACTGCCAGGACAAACAGCCCCTTCCCCTGCCATTGGAGCTGCCTCACTGGAGCCAACAGCCCAGGAACTGACGTCATTCCTTCCACCCTGCTGCCTGCTATTCACCCCAACCTACCATAAATGTGTCATCATCTACCTGGTCCTTTGCTACCTTACTCCCTTACACCCTACATACCTGGCAGCATAATCCCTAGCACCTCCAATACCTTTCCTACCAGGTACTTTACACCCCCTATTCACATGGCACTCTACTCCCCCAGCACCCTAATCTCACACCTACACTGCATACTTACCTTTTCACAACAGCTGCTGTCAAAGTGGTTATCTATGATTCTGGATCTTAAAATTCCATAACATGGCAACAGGCTGTTGTGAAAAGGGGCCATGTTTTCTCTATTCTTAAAAAGCTGGCATTATGAGGGACCTATCAGAATGGAAGTACAGCTCCTCATTTCTGAAGGGGCACCGAGTGGAGCCTCTCGCCTGAAATACAAATTTTTCTCATGGATTGAAAAAGGAGTGAATTGGCAATCTGCGTGAGATTCCACTGCTTAGGAAATTCTGCCCAATATTTCTGAGAAGTTACTTCAAATTGCCAATTTGTTCTTCCAGCTATGAATTGATAGCCCTTCACAATTTCAAAGCAAGAAATTTAAAAGACAACGGTGACCCATGGAGTGAAATGCCAATTCTTAGTGAACTAACTGGATAACTTAGATTAAGAAAGTCATAGAAAAGAGGCTAAGAAAAAATAAAAAAAGAATCTGACGTTTTTGTACCCTTTAACAACAATTCACTACCTGAAATATTGATACTCCATTTTTTTCTGTGCCAGAGGTTCATTGTTTTAACAATTTAAATTAAGCACAGACATAACTTTCTGTGGTATCTTTAATAGATAACTAATATGCAAATCCAATAATTACTCAGAATCATAGACGTTCAAATTGCCCCTTAATTTTAACACTGAAATGAAGTCTGTGATGTTTTATCATTACTCCCACCCCAAGAAGCTAATATTTATTTTTTAAAAAAAGAGGTAAAATATGAAAATAACTAGAATAAAACAGATGCGTACCTTCTTCTGAAACTTTAACTTCTGTGGAATCTTTATAGAGGTATGCAGCTTTTTGAAACGCATCTCAAAATAGTCAAACTCAAATCTTTTTAGCTGCAGAGCCAAAACCTGTGGGAGACTTTCAAAGTAGTATCTCTGAAAATGGGAAAGGAACAAACAAACATTTGTATATGTTGATTTATACTGGGACAGGATCATGTGGAACTGATTTCTGTGTATTTAATACCCTAAGTGCAGATACTTTTACAGGGGGTCCCTGATTTACGAGCATCTAATTTATGAATGCTTGGACCTACAAATGTGGTCCCATATGAGGGTGCAATTTTTAAGACCTGATATTCAAACAGTTCCTGTACTTAGAAACAGCTGTCCTGCATCATGTTCTGACTTGCATAAAATTAACTTGCAAACTGAGTCTAAGGGACCGCTCGGTTAACAGTGGTAGAGGATAAAAGGTGTCTTAACAAGATGTAGTTTATTGATGATAACAATAGGTACAATTACAACGACTACTTGGACATAATTTCAAGATTCTCAGGAGCCAGAGGTGACATTTCTGACAGTCGGCATTTATAACTGAAAACAGCAAAAACTGGAGAACACAGCAGGTCAGGCAGAATCCATGGAGAAACAACAAGCTAACGTTTCAAGTCTTGATGACTCTTGATCAGAGCTGACGTGAAGTGTTGCTGGGGGGAGGGCAGCATTTGTGCTATAGTTGGGGGGGGGGGGTGGGAGTGGGGAGTGCTGGGGGAGAAAGGATGTTTATAGTTTAGATTAAGTGATTGGAATGTGAGAATGCTAGAACGATGGTGTGTCTAACTGCCAGATTAGAAAAACAGACAGTCTCATTGGAGTGGGGGGAGGGGAGAGAGGACAGGGTGACAGAGAATGCAACAAGTAAAGCAAAAGGAAAGGAATGGGAGATAGTAGGAACTGCAGATGCTGGAGAATCCGAGACAGCAAGGTGCAGGGCTGGATGAACACAGCAGGCCAAGCAGCATCATAGGAGCAGAGAGGCTGACGGCTCCTAGGAAAGGAATGGGAGTGGGTTCACAATTTGAAAGTGTTGAACTCAACATTAAGTCCATAAGTTTGTAAAGTGCCTAGTCTGAAGTTGTGGAGGTGCTGGTGTTGAACTGGGGTGGACAGCATCAGAAGTCACACAACACCAGGTTATAGTCCAACAGGTTTATTTAAAATCACAAGCTTTCGAAATGCTGCCCTTCGTCAGGTGAAATGCAGAGAGGCACACAGGCACAAAATTTATAGCAGAGATCAAAAGATTATACAAATGATGTGAGTGGAGTGTTGACAAGTTGAATAATAAGTCTCTGCAGGTGATCAAAAGTGTCAGATGGTGTGAGTAAAGTGTCAATAGCTGAATAGCAAGTGAAGGGATGACACATAATCCACTTAATTGAGACAGTGAGTCAAAAATAAGGTGGTGCTGGGGACAAACCAGATGGCTGGAATATCATGATAGGTATAACAGTCACATGCCGAGGGTCTAACTAAAGTAACAAATCTGAAGATGAGATGTTTTTTCTCCAGTTTTCACTGTCATTCACTGGAGCATTGCAGCATGCCAAGGACAGACAAGTGGGAATGCGAGCAGTTAAAATGACCAGCTATGGGAAGGTCGAAGTCATGTTTGCACACAGACCGGAGGTGTTCTGCAAAGCAGTCACCCAGTCTGCGTTTAGTTTCTCCAATGTACATTAGGCCACATTGGGTGCAGCGAATACAATACGCAAGATTGGAGGAGGTACAGGTGAAATGCTGCTTCACCTAAAAAGACTGTTTAGACCCTTGGATGGTGAGCAGGTAGGTGGTGAATGGGCAGGTGTTGTAACCTCAGAGGTTACATGGGAAGGTGCCATGGGAAGTGGGGGTGGTGTTAGTGGTAGATGAATGGACTAGAGTATCCAGGAAAGGAAGTGTCAGAAATGGATGATGTGAAAGTTACATAGAGGTGGAAATTGGAGACAAAATGAACAAATTTTTCAAGGTCTAGGAGGGAGCATGAAGAGGCACCGAAGCAGTCATTAATGTACAGAAGACAGAACGGGGGTGTGATCCAGTGTAGGACGGGAACAAGGATTATTCCACATACCTCATAAAGAGGCAGGCATAACTGAGACCCATGCGGATGCCCATAGCCACTCCTTTGGCTTGGCAGAAGTGAGATGAATTAAAGGAGAAATTGTTCAGTGAGACAATAAGTTCAGCCAAGCAGAGGAGAGTAGTGGTGAATGGGGAGTGTTCAGGCCTCTAGTCAAGGAAGAAACTGAGAGCTGGCTGACCATCCTGGTGGAGAATAGAAGCACAGAGTGATTGGACACCCAGGATGAACAGGAGGCAGTTAGGGCCAAGCAACTGGAAATTGTCAATATGGTGGAGGGCATCAGAGGAATCATGGATGTAGGTGGGCAAGGTCTGGACAAGTGGAGAGAGGATGGATTCAAGGTAGGAGGAAATGAGCTCGGTGGGGCAAGAACAGGCTGATATGATGGGCTTACTGGGGCAGTCTGCTTTGTGGATTTATAGCTGTACTCTTCAACTCTCCACTCAGAAATCCCATTTGCTAGCATTTGGCCCATATCCCTCTAAACTCTTCCTAATCATGTACCCATCCAGATGCCTTGTAATTGTACCAGCCTCCATCACTTCCTCTGGCAGCTCATTCCATACACCCACCATCCTCTGTGCACAAACGTTGCTCCTTAGCTCCCTTTTAAATCTTTCCCCTCTCACCTTAAACATCTGCCCTCAGGTTTTGGACTCCCCTACCGAGGAAACGACCCTTGGCTATTCACCCTATCCATGCCCCTCATGATTTTATAAACCTGTACAAGGTCACCCCTCAGCCTCCGATGCTCCAGGGAAAATAATTTGTTGAAGTCAATCTTTATTCTCAGTCTGCTGATTCACCTGAAGTATGTAAAGTTGCTGAGACTGCACGGTGAATCAGGCATGTGGAGGGCTTCTTTCAACATCCAGTAGCACAGTACTTACTGTATGGAACACGTGACCTGTCCTAATTAGTGCATACATTAGACGAGGAGAAAATTAACTCACTGTCTCAGTCTCTGTCTTCTTCTCACATGTTTTGCAATAACATAAATTGTCTCCGCTCAGAGTTACAACCTTCAAAAATTCTTCAAGTGATTCATTCTAAAAAACAATTAGAAAGTATACTTTACATTAGTTTCCAGGAGATTATTTTGTTGCAAAAATTGATAATAACCAAAAGTAGATTTTTTTTGTCTGTCGCATTTTTACCAGTTTAATCCCTTTCCAAATGATAATTTGTAGCACTGTAACTATGTTTGCATTTTCATTTCAGCTACAAATAAAATAATTGTTTCATTCCATGGAAATATCAGTGGCTGAGTTCAAATATAAATGGGTGTGAATGAAGTTCTCTAATCTAGTTTAGGACTACAGCAAATGGTGTGGATTGATATTGGGGGAGCACACTGACTTCAAGCACCCACTCGTCACTCTTCACTCTTCCTTCTGACTCAAGGAAGAGGCTTGACCAATTAAAACACACTCAACAGGTCTGCCAGCCAATCGATGATGTGTCCCACCCTCTCTCCACACCAGCCACCAGGTCAGATAATTTCAAATCAGTGAGAGACTGCATAATTGAAGATTGAGAGTCTCAGGTTGAGTATATTGGGTGACACGGTGGCTCAGTGGTTAGTACTGCTACCTTGCAACATCAGGGACCTGGATTCAATTCCAGCCTTGGGTGACTGTCGGTGGGAAGTTTGCACATTCTCACCCATCTGCGTGGGTTTCCATCAGGTGCTCTGCCTTCCTCTCACAGTCCAAAGATGTGCTGGTTTGGTGGATTGGCCATGCTAAATTATCCTTTAGGATTTAGAGATGTGCAAGCTAGGTGGATTAGTCATGAGAAAATGTTGTGTATCGGGAATGGGGTAGGGGGCTGTGTCTGGATGCGATGCTTATCGGAGGGTCATTGCAGACTTGATGGATGAAATGGCCTCTTTCCGCACTGTCGGGATTCTATGATTCTCGCACCATACAATTGCTAGAACAGAAGCTAGAGACTATAACACTGTGATACTTAGAAAGGTGAGTGAGCACTGTCGATGATGACTGTCACACTGATCAAAAGTCACCAGAGCCAACAATAAAGGAACTGCTGAATGTACAGCAGGAGGTGCATGAAGATACGGGGTGCAACTGATGCTGTGAAAAGGATAGTGAAGGAGTCCATCCAACCCATGAGTGCTGTAGTCACCCTCTTGTGCACAGTCATGGCTTCCTTTGTTGAGAACATAATCAGTCACATTCAGCAGACCTATCAATGCCTGTAGGAGATAATACTGACATACATAACATTGTTTTGTTGCTGGGCTCAAGCAGCACCACTATGAGAGGGAAATGAAGTAACTGAACTCTCTACCTGTGAACAGAGAGGTACAAGTGGAACTAATGATGGAGGATGGCCAGCAGTGTCAGCATTTGGGATCTGCTCTCAGGGCATTTCTGATGTTGTCATCTTGTGGTGTATCCCTATATATCAGTGTTTCAGTGAGTTGCAGCATTAAAGGAGATAACTGTCATTTTGCAAGACTCTCACTGAAAATGATACAAGTAACATTCTAGAAATAGTTATAAATCAAAAAGGAGAAGCAAAGGAGGAACACAAGAAAATTATAATTGTCAGGGAAGTGATACTGAGCAAACTGTTGTGTCTGCAGGCTGACCAGTATCTGGGGCCAGATGGACTTCAGCCTAGGGGTTTTTTTTAAATAAAATCACCTCATACTTGATGTATTGATTTTAATTTTCCAAAATTTCCTGGATTTTGGGATGGTTCGTTACTTTAGAAAATGGTGAATGTGACACTTTTATTCAAAAGAAATCGAGCCAGAAAGCTAGAAACAGGACAGTTAACACCTGTCATGGGGGTTTAGAAGCTATTGTTGAATATGTTATAGTGGGGCAATTAGAGAAAAAAAATCAAGGTAAGCAGGCAAAGTCAATGCTGTTTTATGAAAGGGAAATCATGTCTGACCAATTTATCTCCATTCTCTAAGGAACTAATGTATCAAAGATAAAGGGGAACTGTTGATGTATTGTACTTAGATTTCCAGAAAGTATTTGATAAGTGGTACGTTAAAGGCTACTGCAGAAAATTAAGGCACATGTTGTTGGGGGCACCATATTAGCATGAATAGAAGATTGGCTAGCTAACATAAAACAGAGAGTAGGCATCAATGATTCATTTTGTAGTTGGCAAGGTGAAATGGATACAAGCCTCAGTGCCAGGACCTCAACTTTGCGCTGTTTATGTAAATGAATTAGATGAGATCACCAAAAGGATAGATGCTAAGTTTGCTGATGAAAAACATAGGTAGAAAAGCAAGTTGCAAACAGAATATAAGGAAGCCACAAAAAGACATTGATAAGTTGAGTGAGCAAAGATCTGGCGAATAGAGTATAATGCAGGAAAATGTGAAATTGTCCATTTTGCAAGAAGAATATATGAAAAAAAACTATATGGTGAGAGATCTCAGAGCTCTGAGATGAAAGGGTGATCAGAGTGCCCTAGTGCATGAATAACAAAAGGATTAGTATGCAGACACAGCAAGTAATTAGGAAAACTGATAGAATATTATCACTTATTATGAAGGAAATTGAATACAAGAGTAGAGAGGTAATGCTTCAGTTATTCAATTATACTAGCAAGACCACATCTGGAGTTATGTGCACAGTATTGGTCTACTTATTTAAGGATGGATGTTAATGCATTGGAAACAATTCAGAGAAGGTTTACTAGACTTATGGCAAATTATGGACAGGTTGTCTTATGAGGACCAGTTGGGCAGGAGTCCAATGGTTGGACATCTGCTGGAATTTAGAAGAGTAAAAAAAATTACTTGAGTGAGATATCCAAGTTCCTGAACTGACGAGACAGGATGGATATATAAAGGGTGTTCCCTCCTGTGGGAGAATACAGAACCAGAGGGTCACTATTTCAAAATAATAGTCATCCTTTAAGACAGAGATCAGGAGAATATTTCTTGTCTGTGGAACTAACTTCATTAAAAGACGGTAGAGCAGAGACTTAGAATATTTCTAAGACAGAGATAGATTCTTGATGAACATGGAATTGCAAGATGATCAGGGGAAAGGTAGGAATGGGGAGACATGAGATTAGCTCATTTGGCTCCTGGGGTGAAGTGATCTGAGCCTGACCCCAATTTGTTTTTTTGTATTTGTATGTTCATGTGCATTACTGAAAAAATGTCACATCCATGTGACTAGAATTGATGCCAAGGTCATTCCAGGCTAAAGGGCAAGTAGAAAGCAGAACACCTTGATAATGAAGCAGACCTTTGCAATTATTAGATTTATCTGGTGCTCCAAGTTTTAACTCAAACTTAAACAATAAATATGGCCTGAAATTGCTTGGTGAAATCCGAATGAAAAGGCTGAATCTAGGCTGGTGAGACAGATTTGGCAAATGCCTGATTATTCCAATTTTTTCTCCCTTTTCTTTCCAGTAAAATTCCCCTGGAACAGGTACTGCCGGTCTGGATAATTGTCTTTAAAATGAACATAGTAAAACAATGGAATGGATGCCTGTCCTACAAGTTTAAGTGCCAGGATGAGCTAGGGTCAAGAACAAGGCTAAAAGCAGAAAACAGATCTGATTTTGACTAATATCTATCATCAAGATGTCAGCACAGCAATTTCTAGCCTACTACAGCACTCTTTACAATTTAATGCTGCTCCCCCCCCCCCCCCCCCCCCCCCACTATGGTCCTATTAATAAGTAGTTGCTAGAATTGTAATTAAAAACCTGGATATATAACTTACCACGCTGTTGAAATACCTCCCTGTTAAATGATCAGGAGAAGAAAGGGACAAGGGAATATCCAAAAAAATACATTCTTCTCGGGATTGAGTCTTGCATTCCAAACACTTCAGAGAATTAATCATTTTACTCTGGTAGATCTAGAAAAAGATATTAAATCAAAATTTTCTCCATTTTCATGCTTTTCTCTCCCCTCCACCCTTCAAACTTTTGTGGCTTTTCCCATTTTCTCAATTACTAAAAAGGCAAACAAACTTCTACTTTATTATTTCAATTTTCATCCTTTTCTCTTAGATCCTTTAGAGAATGTATACCATGGTATGGTTCCATAGCCAGCAACATCCTTTTGGTCTTGAGCTACTCTTCATCTGTCTGTGCAGGTAGCTATTTTGATCATTAAGGCAGCATCAGAATCATATCTGGTTCTGTTTTCATCCAAATTCAATACATATACAATTTCCAGTCATTGGAACTGGGCCTCTTGACTAGTTTCATTTTATTCACACTTCATCCAGAGATCCTAAGCCTAGCTGCATTCCCCATCACTGTATTCATGTTGGGTATTATCTGGTAGTACTAACTAAAGAATTGGTACAACTCTGTCTTAGTGCCAGTTGGGAGCTGTACTCTAAACAAATGAGTTGGAACTGTGGCTAAAAGACAGCAGCACCAAATTTCCAATCTGTCTTGGTATCAAATACAGCAATCCATAGACATTTGTAAGAGTCCTGAATCTGTCCTAGGGTGCACTGAGTTCTTAGCAAGTTATTATGGCAGGAATTCACGTCTTTACTGCATTCTGTTGTTGTCAAGGGGTGGAACCAACATTGAATTGACAGCATCCTAACATCTTTCTTAAAACTTAGATTAATAAACAATACCATGCCGATAGCTGCAATATTGCATTCAACGGCAGCAACTATATCCAAACAATAGATTGTGATAACAGTAAGAAAGATAAGATGTACTTGCTTGAAAGATATAGAAACTGAAGGATGATCAAACTTGCATATAGATCAACTTTACTGATGTAAGAATTGAGTTTGAAATTTCTCCTCCATTATAAGCTCACCTGCAATACTTTACAAGATCCATTACTTTCTCCATCAATTTTATTCAACAGCAGTCGGAAATATTCTTCTACATCCTGTTGTTCGAATACTTAAAAATAATGCAGAAGTAATATTTATATTTTATTCTTCAATTAGTTGGAATTTGGAATAAAAGGTATTACTTATTGTTAAATATTCTTGAAACAACAGTAATGTTAAAAATATAGTTGCAACATAGATAATAACATCAGAATATTACCATTACAAAACTGGATGCTTCTCAGAGATCAACAGTTATATTCTTGATTAAGTTATTTATCCAGGTATAAAAGAATTCATAAAAATCATACTATATCAAAAACACCCTTTCAATTCTCTCTGAGGACTTGATTATTACAATTTCTGGCAAGCAGAATTTCATTATTGACAAATTAAGGAACACTACACCTTAGGGTACCAAGCTCAGTGCTTCAATTCTCCCATATATACTACAGAAAAAAATATTTTTCTGTACATGATCTGAGAAATGTTTGTTGATTAGTTATGCAATATGTTTTCTATTATAGTTTTAATGTCCTTCAAATCATGCTATCATATACCTGAATGCAATTGCTTCATGCATTGCATCCCCTTGTTGAATCAACTTTAAATACTGCAGAGTGGTAGTTTGATATAACTGAGTGGTTTGCTACACCAGAGGACAGTTATGATTCAACCACATTTCTGTGGATCTGAGCCACATATAGACCAGACCAGGCAACAATGGTGGATTTATCTCTCTAGATATTATTGATCAAATGTTCAGATGTGTTACTAAATACCTCTGGAGTAGATGGGGTTTGTACCCAGGTCTCCTGGTTCAGAGGTAGGGATATTATCACAGCACCACAAGAACCCCAAATTCCTTCCCAGAAGAGTCTTTAATGATAAGCAGCAATGGTTGCATGATCATTATAAGGGTGGATTTTAATTCCCGATGTTTTTAAATTGAAGTCAGATTTCAACATTTGCTGTACTCCCCCAGTACTGCAACAATTCAACATTGCTCCTCTGACAGTACATTTCAAGCCCATAACCAACATCTCAAAGAAAAAGGGCAGCAGATGCAGGGAACACCACCATCTGCAAATTCCCCTCCAAGCCACACATCACCCTCACTTGGAAATACATCACCCTTTCTTCACAGTTGCTGGATCAAAATTCTGGAATGCCCTTCCTAACACCCCAGTAGGTAAAAACCTACAGTCCAAGGACTATAGCAATTCAAGAGGTCAGCACACCATTGCCTCCTCCAGCATAATTAGGGATGGGCAATAAATTCTGACATTGCCAGTGATGACCTCAAATTTTTAGAAAAACTAGACCAACATAAAAAAACTCAATTTTCTTCTACACCATCACGTTCAGCCTAATTTTCAATGTGTAAGAAATGTTCTGTTGATATTAGGAGTCAACCTCAATTTTTCAGCTCAGCAATGCATGCTTTACTCACCTTCTACATCAGCACAAAGAATCACGCACGTAACGCAAGCCTTGAAGAGTTTAAGACATGTTCAGACATTGCAGACTGCACTTGGTGATCAATGAACAGAAATGGGTCCTCCAGAAAAAAGGAATGCAACATAAAGCGCAGTTCAAGCAAAATGTTCAAGCAAAAATGAAACACTGATGCAAAAAAAGTGGAAGAATGAGAAATCTGTGCCGAAGAATGTGTCCAAGACCAAATGTGTCATGAGCCCTGGGATCAGCCACTGACTGGCCTGATCTTGAGAATTATGCATTGGAATGGGTCCTCAAAAATCCTCTGGATGGTTATATCAACACCAGACTCACTAAACTCACTTCAGTGGGTGAATGAAAGCCTCAGTCTTACAACGATGTCAGAACAAAGCCTGTTGTGTAGTTGCTTTAAGGAATTAAGAGGCAGAATCTTCACAGCCTTGAATGACTGTGGGCCGTAGAAGGTGATTCGAGAAAATCATGTGAGACTGTCAGTGAGAGTTTTTCAATATTGAGACCAAAAAGTTCAATTTTCCAACCAAGTGTTGAACTACAAGTTGAGATTCTCGCTTATTAGTGGTGAGATACGTATCGCATGTGTTAGCATGCACTAATGTGTCATGGATACTTAATTTCATCTCATCTTGTTAATATGCAGTTTCCTATTTTCCTCTCTGCCACTCAGAAACTGGATGGTGACAATTCCTGACACACAAGTCAGAGTGGGTAACTGGTGACTCCAGCTTGCCACTTTCTTCTCCAGACTCCATCTTGGAGTCACAGCACCAAAATCTCAGGGTATGCTCCATGGGCAGTCACAGCACACATCCTACATCCATGGACATTAACATTACATATGTGCCAGCCCCGCTGTATTATTGTGGCATTTCTTCAATCCACCCACACTTCCACGCTGCATTTTGGAGACCACTATCAGCTTATGCTGCTGAAAGGACATTTTGCAGGGACAGGCAGCCATTTCATAGATTGGACCAAATATCACTTCACGGATCGTTGCTCACTACCTTGTGGCAACTTGGATGCTCACCACAACCCTGCCTTGTTTTGCCTCTTACACTTTGCCTCCTCGGCTATAGCTTAGAAGCTCATAGAACTCTTATCTTGACTTGTCTTCTAGTGTTGAGTCAAAGCCAGGGAGCTTGTCATGTTTAGCAGCAGTGCTCAGTGAATGGAGTGGACATGTTGCTGTACAGCATTCTGCCATGTCAATCTCATACCAGCACCAAATGCCAGCCACATAAGGGCCAACAGCATTGCATATATTTCAAGCAAATAGTCTAGTATCAAAGTCTAAGTGGAGGCTAGTCCTCAGGCAAGTCAAAGGAAACAACCTTTAGTCAGAAAACTGAAGGATACAGAGATCATGTTCTGAAGTTGTTGAATTCAATATTGAATCTTTGGCTCTGAACATGCTTACAATCTGCTCCATGTCTTCATTCTTCTCCTCTCTCTACAGCATTAAAAAAAACACAATTTTCCAGCTCCTTTCTGTTCTGAAGAACAGGTATATCATGGTTGAAACATTAACTTTGCTTCTATCTCCACAGATGCTGGCAGGCCTGCTGATTTCCTCCAGACATTTCTGTTTTATTTCAGATAATACCAGGAGACAGTGGAGCAGAAGTAGGCCATTCAGTCCATCGCCATTCAATAAGATCATGGTGATCTGATGATCGTTAATTCCACTTTCCCTTGGTAACCCTTAGTAATGCTGTTTAAATATCTGTCTATCTCAGTCTTAAATATACTTAACAACCAAGTTTCGATAGCCCTCTGCAGTAAAATCCAAACAGGTTCAACACTGCACGAGAAAAATAATTCCTCATCTGTTTTGAATGGGTGAACCCTTATTCTGAGATTACACCCTCTGGTCCTAGACTCTACCACAAGGGAGAAACAACCTCTCCCTGGTTACCCTGTCAAGTGCTCTAAGAATCTTGTACGTTTCAATAAGATCTTAAACCTCAATGAACAGGCCCAATCTACATATACAAAAACAGAAATTGCTGGAGAAATTCAGCAGGTCTGGTAGCATCTGTGGAGAGAAAGAAGAGTTAACATTTCAAATCCAGCAACTCTTGTTCGGAACTGTTCTCAACAGTGGTGAAGATGAGCCCATGATGTGCTCCAAACTGTAGTTAGTTCAAATGCTCATCAAGGTGTCAGCATCTGAGCTGCTGGCAGATGCAGCAGGTAGCTTTTCCGGTGTTTCCTCTGAGGCTTCTTCCTCAGATGGAGTCAAGGAGATGTTTTGTGGGGCTTTCCTCTTGGCTATGGAGACTGTACTAATAACACTCATGCCTGCAAGAGCATCACAAACAAGGTGTCTAGTTTCTGGCACATTAAGACGCTATTCCCATTGTGAATAATGCGAGAGTAGCAATGAACAATACTTCTTACTTGGATGCCAATGATTCATCATCAGTGGCAAAAACATGAGTAGCAACATGAATAAATGTCCAACTGCAGAACTATGGAGTGGAAGCATTCAAAACTAGTTCTCATAAACACCACAGACATGAGAGGAGAAAACTTACATTGCACTGAGCGTGCATGGCCAACTGAATGAAAGACTAGGGTAATTTTCAAATGTAAACCCATAATGAAAATCAAGTTCTCTGCAGGAGTTCCTTTGTGCATGTCCATGACAACAGTTGGATTGTGTGAAATTCTGGATCAAAGCAGTGAAGTTATAAAATAAATATCCTGATGATGTAGACAAAGAACAGTGTGGGAGATTGTCAAATCTCACAGAACTAATGTGAAGAAATAATGCCTACACTGCAGTTATAACTGTGTACAAATTGGGAAGTCTGCTCCAACAAACTATTCAAGTGAAAACCATCACGTTCTTTCCAAATGGAATATGTGAATGGTTGACAGAGGAGAAAATCTTCACACACCACGAAAATCATATATGTTGTTAATGCACAAACACCAAATGGAATATGTGAATGGTTGACAGAGGAGAAAATCTTCACACACCACGAAAATCATATATGTTGTTAATGCACAAATTGTTATCAGATCATTAAAAAAAAGTGCAGAATTTCTAATTCAATGGAGGGACAGAAAGATGAATTGTTGTCTGAAACTGAAAATGTAGAATCTGATCCTGAGTAGAATTCTTATAGTGATGTATAGTTTGGCATAAAGATGCTGAAGACAATGGACGTGGTCCATTTATAATTTTAAAATGTTTACGTTATGATTAAAGGCACATTTCTAGACTAATTCATTGATTAAAACATGTCACATTGATGTCCCCTGAATAGCCCAGTATTAAGTTTTATTTCATGCTTCAAAATGGTGACCAAAACACGAACGCCAGCAGTTCATTTTATGTTCAGCATGTAAATTGCACCCCTCTGCACACTCCACTCCGCCCCCTTTTTGGGAAGAATTTTTCAAGCTTTTACAGGTCATTTTATGTGCCATGATCTAACAGTATAGACTTTCTGGAAAAAAGGCAGTAAAAGAAATTTCACATCAAGATTTAAAAACTTTCTTACAACACTCATTTATGTCGCTGATCGTAAGTATATGCCATTTTACATGATATTCCAATTTTCATATTATATGCCATTCACCTTTCTTGCTTAAGCCCAGGTTCCTTGTAATTCCGTGTGTACGTGCGCTACCATTTTCTAAGTTTGCAAATAGTTCTTTAAGTTGGTAGCAAATGTTGGCATCCTTATTGATGGGTTCAGCTGTCTCTTCCACAAATCTGACAGGAGGATTAATTGTTTCACAATATTAGGCATTTTCAGTGTGTAATATGACATGCACATAATGCATTATTTGCTTTTTATATGTAAATATTTAAACCTAAAACATATTGCACTTCCAAGTAATTAGATAACATGTTACTAACATATATTCAGAGCTCATTATTATTTATATTATTTACAAACCTAATAATAGCGTTCTTCACTTCAGGAGTCATGTAGAGAGTCTGAAGTAATGTGTTCAAGTAGCAAGTGGCTCCTTGGTTATATAATCCAAAATACCCTAATCATAAATAAAAGCATTGTTTTGATCAAAATATAAATTGTAGTAAATTAACAGACAATAAACAAGTGAGTTCCAATTTCTACATTCATGTGCACAACACAAGATTTTCTGTAGCTATAAAGTTCAGTTGCAATTTTTATACTAATTTTCAAAAATGTTGAATACTTATTACACAGATAAAACATTTGGTTGTGATAATTTTAAACAAATATTGACAAGCAAACTTACATTCATAATTATCATAAGGCTGAGTATTTTGAAATCAAAATGAAAATATCACCAAATATTTTCCCCTTTTCTATAGTCAATTCCAAGATCAACACTAAACAGAAATAGTGCTGTAAATAGTGCATTTTAATAGTCTGAACACATCTGGTTGCAATGCTGTATATGCCTTTCTTGAATATCAGAGGAAACTGTGACTGTGAATTTTTGAGCAGAGACAATGTTGCATCAACCTGAATGAGATTAAGAACTAGTTACCAAGTTATCACAGAATACAAAGTTGTGCTCTAAAACCAACTGCGCAGTCATTCAGCTGCTGTATTTGTAATACACATTGCACTAGTGTAGCATTAGCTGCCTTGGACAAGAGTGCAGGGAAGGCCCTGCACAAAGACCTGCAATTAGATACATTCAATGTGCAGGTTGTTCAGCAAGTAATTAAACAAAATATCAGATTTACCTAGCCATGTGGTAATGGGAAAGTGATGATTCTGATAACAGCCTGCTCTCTCTGCAACTGGCAGTTTACCGTTCCTGGCTAGTTAACCACTCTCGGTGGTGAAAATGTAAAGAACCATATTACCAGCCATCATATGGAGCCCAGATCATGAAATATCAAAATATTTCTAAACAACAATACATGTCCATTATACAGAACAGCCCTCAGAGTGAAAATGCTTGACAGGTACTACATTGACCTAGTCAAGTCTCGATTTGAGGAGGCTGAAGCACACTATATACATTCTACTGGAAAAGCACAAGGACAGCCTCAACAGTCAGGCATAGGCTTTACCATTCGATCTGAACTGGGATGTGAGAGTGACTGATGGCTCCTTGTTTAAATCTTCCAAGTAAAAAGCATGTACTATTCCATAGTGTTGCTATGCTCTAACAACGACGCATAGAGATAAGATAAAAATGCAAGACAACTAGTGGCATGTCCCACCTTGACAGACTCATTATTGTTGGTTAAATGAGTTAGCATGGACTGCAACATGTGGAGAGGACCACCAGGATATCACAGTGCTGACAGACAAAACTCCAGTGGCCAGCTACTTCTCTCTAAATGCAGCGAGTCACAAAAAGAGTCCTTGTTCTAAGTAGTATGTAGGAAAGTGATGGCCTTGTGGTAGATTGTTAATCCAGAGACCCAGGTACTGTTCTGGGGACCTGAGTTTAAATCCTGCCATGGCAGATGGTGAAATTTGAATTCAATAATAATCTGGAATATGAGTCTAATGATGACCGTGTATCCACAGTCGATTGTAGTAAAAAGACTGGGCATTCATGAGGCATTGTGGGCCATCAGCAGCAGCAACAGATAAGGGAATATAGTTCAACACAATAGCCACATCATGGCCCAGCATATCTTCCACTCTGCCATTGCTATCAAGCCAGGGGATCAACCATGTAGGGCATGCCAGGAGCAGCACCAGACATACCTGAAAATGAGTTGTCAATCTTCTGAAGGTAACAAACAGGACTATTTTTGTGACAAACAGCTTAAGCAAAAAAATGATAGACAGAGCTAAGTGATTCCATTACTAATGGAGCAGTTTTAAACTTTGCAGTCCTGCCACATCCAGTTGTGAATGGTGGTGGAAAAATAAACATCTCAATGGAGGCGGAGGCTCCATAAATATCCCCATCCTTAATAATCGGGAAGTTCAGCACATTAGTGCAAAAGATAAAGTTGAAGGATTTGCAAGAAACTTCAGCCATAAGTGTCAGGTAGATGATCCATCTCAGCCTCCTCCAGTGGTCCTCAGCATCACAGATGCCAGTCTTCAGCCAATGTGATTTGCTCCATATGGTGTCAAGAAATGGTTGCAAGCACTGAATACTGCAAAGGCTGTGGGCCATGATAACATTCCAGCAATAAACTTATATTTCAGAACTTGCCACTCCTCTAATAAGCTGATCTGGTACAGCGCCAATACTCATATCTACCCATCAATGTGGATTTTATGCAAAAAGCAGGACAAATCCAACCTGGCCAATTATCACCCTTTCAGTCTACTCTCAATCATCAATAAAGTGATGGAAGTTATCATCAATAGTGCTATAAATAGCATTTGCTCAGCAATAACTTGCTCACTGACATCCAGTTTGGTTTCTGCCAGGGCCACTCTGATCTTGACCTCATTACAGCCTTAGTTCAAACATGGACATAAAAGCTGAACTCCAGAGGTGAGACAAAAGTGACTGCCTTTGATACCATGGCTGCATTTGATCAAGGGTAACATCAAGGAGTTGACGTCAAGCAAAACTGGAGTTAATGGGAATCAAGGGGAAAACTCTCCACTCTTTGGACTCATACGTGGCACATAGGAAGACAGTTGTGGTTGTTGAAGGTGAGTCAGCTCAGCACCAGGATATCTGTGCAGGAGCTCCTCAGGGTCGTGGCCTACGCCCAATCATTTCAGCTGCTTCATCAATGACCTTCCCTTCATCATAAGGTTAGAAGTGGGGATGTTCACTGATGATTGCACAATGTTCAGCACCATTCATGACTCCTCAGTCCCTGTCCAAATGCAGCAAGATCTGGACAACATCCAGGCTTCAGCTGATTAGTGGCAAGCAACATTCCTGCTACATAAATACCAGGCAATGAACCGCTCCAACAAGAGATAATCTAAGCACCAACCCACTGACATTTAATGGCTTTGCCATCACTGAGTCTCCCATTATCAACATCCTGGGCATTACCCACTGATCAGAAACTGAACTGTTTTCTAGCCATATAATTACACTGGCTACAAAAGCAGGACAGAGGTTAGGAATACTGCGGCGAATAACTCACCTCCTGACTCCACAAAGCCTGTCTACCACCTACGAGGCACAAGTCAGGAGTGTAATGGACTACTCCCCACTTGCCTGGATGACTGCATTTCCAACAAGACTCAAAAAGCTTGACACCATAAAGGACAAAGTGGCCTGCTTGATTGGCACCACATCTACATTCAGTTCCTCGACCACCCATCTTCAGTAGCAGCAATGTGCACTTATCTATAAGATGCATTGCTGAAATTCACCAAAGCTTTTTAGAAAACACCTCCCAAATCCACAACCATCACCATCTAAAAGGAAAGGGCAGCAGTTATATTGGAACTTCACCATCTGCAAGTTGCCCTCGAAGCGACTCACCATCCTGACTTGTAAATATATCTCCATTCCTTCAGACATAGCATGAACTGCAGTTGCTAGAATCAGAGTCAATATAGTGTGGAACTGGAGGAACACAGCAGGTCAGGCAGCATCAGAGGAGCAGGAGAATTGACACTTCAGGTTTTTGCCTTTCATCAGGAACCTTCATCCATTCCTTCAGTGTCTCTGGGCACATAATCCCAGAATCCTCTCCCTAATAGCATTGAGAAAGCACCTACACTACATGAAATGCAGCAACTCACGAAGGCAGCTCACCACAAATGAATGCTGATGCAACCAGTGATGCTAACATCTCATGAGTGATTTTTTTGTAAAAAAAGGTGCCCCATCAGATAGAAGATGACATAGATGGGCAATGCATTTATGAGTGCGAGGTTCTATTTCCAAGTAAGTGTTGCCCTTGCCTCCTATGTGCCATTGAAGCTTTTAGCTTCGATTCCCTCCCACTACGTATACAATGAAGAATTATCCCTGGCACGAATAAGGTCCCACAGCAGCAAGTACCTCTGGCACTAGTGAGTGAATGATGGTGCAAATGTGATAGCATAAATGGCATGAAATAACTCATGGAGAGAAACTTCCCAATTTTTTTTATTCATTTTGTGGGATGAGGGCATCGCTGGCTGGCCAGCATTTATTGCCCATCCCTGGTTGCCGTTGAGAAGGTGGTAGTGATCTGCCTTCTTGAACTGCTGCAGTTCACCTGCTGTGGGTTGACCCACAATGTCATTGATGTAGCCAATTTTTGATAAAATTCAGCCTTAAGCTCTAATATCCCCTCTTCCAAGTTTTTCCCCAGCTATCTCTCCCCTGTTTATTGAGATATTCCCTGAATCTTTCACTGGCTATAAAATGTTACACACTTGTCTAACTATGTCCAATATCTAGTTTTGGGTCAGCAGGCAGTTCTTCCCAAGGAAGGCTGAAATTATTATCCTTCCTCCCCACAAATTCCGTTCCGTAGCCACCAAATCCACCCTCTCCTTGAGGCAGCCTATTACAATGTTAGTGACACGTTTGACTCTGAGCTGTGTATCAATCCAATCCTGTCGCTACCACCACCTATTTCTACATTCGTAGCGTTACCTGAATCCACACAACTTTAATTCATCTACTGAGACCCCCTTTCATACTTATATTATCTTTAGTGCTAATAATTGCAACTGCCTTTGGGCTACTTCCAAAACAAAAATGGATTTCATTCAGAACTCAACTAGTTTGCTAAATCCCGCTGTCCTAAACCCTCATCAACTCTGTTGCCCTCTTTAGTTCTCAATTAAACAATGTCATAACTTTCACTCCATAGTCTCATCCCGTCCTGTCTCTTTACCTTACTCCAATCCTACAGCCCTCAGAGAGATCTGGTTGATCTCCTGATACCTAGATCACAAGATTTCAATCTCTTCGCCATCGGTGTCCTTGCTTTCGATTACTTTTATTTCAAGCTCTGGGATTCCTTCGCCTCGCCGCCTCTCTCTCCCTTAAAGGTTTTTATATCTGTAACCACATGTTTTTTTGTAATCCCAGTTTGTAATGGATTATGGTCTTCCTTAGATCGCTTTACTACATTAATTGAGTCACATAACTACAAGATGATGATTTGCAAAAGTGCTTGTCAATTATTAAAATGCTTAGCTATCTTATGACAGTAAGTACGTGCAGTTAGATACATTAAAATTAGATCATTTTTGCTACAGATTCCGCCCCCTCCAGGTTATTGAGATTAATTATTAAACCATTTTCGAACAATTTTATTACTTGCCTTTATGAGGGTCGTCTGTTTGTTGTCGCGACATTTGCTCAGTGCTTCCCGTTTCTACTGGTTTTTTTTTCCTTCTGAAATTAATCAAATGCGGCAAGTTTTTGAAGAAATTTAACATTCCCTACCGTCTTTGAATTTAAATTACTACTTTTCCACGTTGGAAAAGTGTCTCCCTAATCAGATCTCTCTCTCACACACACACACACTTAAGAAACGATAAACCGGGAGCCGCGATCAGTGTTTGAGTCTCTGGATAACGCCCAGCTCTCTGCTTTAAGATTCGAGGCGGTCTTTTATCGTTCACTCGATAGTCCATTTCACTTTCGACAGAAGCCGCAACTTTCAGTTTCATTTTACAATAATCAGCCATTCGCAGCAACACTGAAACCTCTTTCGTTATTTAATGTGCAGTGGCAAGCCTGAAAGTTAGGATCACTTGGTTTAAGTTTTGAACTCCGTGGTGAGCGAACAGCACCCGGTAGTTATCACACTTGGTTGATAAATTGGTTTGTGTACAATAGTGAGAAACCATTTGCTAAGTGCCACACTCTAAAAGGTATCTGGGTCACATTTGAACAAGACAGACATTAAAGGAGAGGCTAGTGACCTTGCTAATTCAAACAGTTGGATACATTCTTCCATGGGTGTCTCTTATCTCCATTTTAAAATTGTACTGTTTGCTTCCTATCAAGATTAGTCAGTTCACACTCTGCTTTTCTCTAATACCCGTAACCATGGGTTATTAGCACCCTGCACTACCTATTTTTACTAATCAACCTGTTCAGCGATGTTCTTACACACCTCTGAAGCAGGTGGAAATTGAACCTGGGCCTCCTGGTCTAGGGGTAGGGAGACTACCAATGTGCCACAAGAGGCTCCAGCTTTTCTGCTTATCTGTCCAATTCTAGCAATTTCCATTTAGCAGTCAGTTACTGTTTCCCTCACTTATTACTCACTTATGTCTGAGTTTTGTTTCATCTTCAATCTTTGAAAGTATGCCTTACGTTCCCAAGTGCAGATTATTAAAGTATCTGGGGTTGTTGACTTGCTCGCCAAGCTGGCTTATTCTTCTTCAGCCGTTTCATCACCATGCTAGGTGACTTCATCAGTGGAGCCTCCAATGAAGCAATGTTATTCTACTCTGCTTGGAATTTATACTGTCCAGTCTGTTATAGTGAGTAGGATTAAAGACCCCATTCCCACAACATGCATAATAAACGTGGTTTACAAGATACCATGCAACGACTGCCACAAACGTTACATCGGACAGGCAGGAGGGAAACTAGCCATCAGAATACATGAACATCAATTAGCAGCAAAACGGCACAACAAACTTTCCTTAATATCAGGACACTCAGACAATGGAGGCCATCAGTTTAACTGGGTCAAGGTAACCATAGAAGCCCAAGCCAAATATAGACACACACGGGAATTCCTAGAAGCATGGTTCTCCACCCGTAATGCAATGAACAAACATATAGAATTGGACCCCATATACAAACCCATGCAGATCAAAACCGGAAATGACACCACTCACCGTAACGGGCCAGACAGTATAAGTTCCAAGCAGAGTAGAATAACATCACTTCATCGGAGGGTCCACTGATGATGTCACCTCGTATGGTGACGAAACGTCTGAACAAGAACAAACCAGCTCTGCAAGCAAGTCAACAACCTCACCCACAACCCGAGCTACAGATCTTTCCCAAAACTTTAATAAAGTATCTATATCAAAGTTAACAATTTCCCTAACCCTGAAATTAGGGCTGTACTCTTTCCTACCATCTAAACATCAGCCACTACTCTCTGTTTCTGTCCCTTAGATATCTTTATATTTGCGCTGCCAATACTCTTTTAGAGCCATGAGCTCTGGTTTTTTGTCCGTGTGTACTTTGTCAACCAGCATTCCAAAGTCCCCTTTTACCAAACAATGCATTGTTATCACCAACCATTCTCACTTCTTTGTCAAAAAATCCAATCCTGGTAGCAAATACAATTTGACTTTCACAAATGCATGCTGGGTTTCATTTACTAATAATATTTTTTCCAAGTGCTAATAAATTTTATCCCAGAATTGTTGTTAGTTGAAGTTTCCCCATTAGATTGTCCATTCTGTAGTTGCTGAATTTTTCCTGCTCCCCTTTAACAAGCAACAATATCCAGGGTGACTCTATTAGGAACACTCTTACCTCTGAGTAAGAAGGGTGCAGATTCAAGTTCCAGTACTTGAGTACAAAACTCTAGGCTGACACTCTAGTGCACAACTGAGGGGACACTATCATTTGGATGAGAGATTAAGCCAATGTTTTGCTTGCTCTTTCAGGTGAATCCCATGATGCCGCTCTAAAGAGGAGCAGGGGTATGTGTCTTAGTCAACACTTATCCCTCAACTGACATTGCAAACAATGATTATTTGGGCATTATCGCATTGCTGTTAGGGAGCCTTCTGTGCACAACTTGGCTGCCACATGTCTGACATTTAAGATGGTAACTGTGTCTAAAGTGGTACCTCCTTATTGGATAGTGAGTCTACTCCAGGCCACTAATTGTCCAGGACAGCCAAAATCAAAGTCCGGTAGCCGTCCCAACAGTACACAGAGTTAGAATCTGGACTTGATGTTATTGGAGGACCAATCCGGATTAGAAAATTCTACCAACAATTTCCTCAATCTTGTAGGATAAAGCATGAGTTTGTCGGCCCCTTGTGACTTGAGGCAATCTCACAATTCAGCAATGAAGTAAGAAAAACCAAATACTGATAATGTTCGATTTCAAAACTAAGTTCGTACTTCTGGATTTAGGTTTCAAATCACATCGGAAGGATTGGTTCATAAAAACTGAAAGAACTGTGGATGCTGTAAATCAGAAACTAAAACAGAAATTGCTGGAAAATCTCAGCAGGACTGGCAGCATCTGTGGTGAGAAATCAGAGTGGATGTTTCATGTCCAGTGATCTTCCGTAGAACTGATGGTAGCTAGGAAAGTGTCAGTTTATATGGAGAACGTAGGGTGGGGGGAGGGGTTAAGGAGTAATTGATAGGTGAGGATAGGGCCCAAAGAGAGAGAAGAACAGTTGAACAGACATAGGAGTGGATAATGATCTGGCTAGGAGGGTGAATAGCTACTAATGGGGACTGTTAGTGGCTAACAATGGGTAGTGTGTAATGGCAGACTGTGATAACAAGATGTGGTGTATGGGGGTAGGGGCCAGGACAAGCCCTAAAGTTATTGAATGTGATGTTGAGTCCAGAAGGCTGTAAGGTCCCCAAGCAGAAAATGAGGTGTTGTTCTTCCAGCTTGCGCTGAGCTTCACTGGAACATTGCAGTAAGCCTCAGACAGAGATATTGGCTAGGGAACAGGGTGGTATGTTGAAGTGGCAGGTGACTGGAAACTCAGGGTCTTTTTTGCAGGCAGAACATAGATGTTCTGTGAAGCAGTCACCCAGTCTATCCTTCATCTCTCCAATATAATAGAGACCACATTGTGAGCAGCGAATGCAGTAGACTAGATTGTTTGAAGTTCAAGTAAAGTGCTGCTTCACCTGGAAGATAAGTTTGGGCCCTTGGCTACTGGGGAGGGAGGAGATAAGTGGGCAGATGTTACACCTTCAGCAGTTGCGGGGGCTGTTGGGGAGGTTGCTGGGAGTGAAGGAAGAGTGGACTAGGGTGTCCTGGAGAGAGCAGTCCCTGTGAAAGGCAGACAATGGAGGGGAGGGGACTATGTGTCTGGTGGTGACATCTTGAAGGAGGTGGAGGAAATGGTAGCTAATGATCCTCTGGATGTGGATGCTGGTGGGTTAGTAGGTAAGGACATGGGGACCCTATCGCTGTTGCGGGAGGGAAGAGAGGTGGTGAAGGCCAAAGTGCAGGAGATTGGTCGGACCCAGTTCAGGGCCCTGTCAACAAAGGTGCTGGGGAACTCTCAGTTGAGGAAGAAGGTAGACATTTTGGAGGATCCCTTGCTGAAGCTGGCCTCATTGGAACAGATGCAACAGAGACAGAGGAACTCTGAGAATGGATTAGAGTCTTTACAGGAAGTGGGGTGTGAGGATGTATAGTCCAGGTATCTGTGGGAGTCAGTTGGTTTGAATTAAATATTAGTGGCCAGTCTATCCCTAGAAATGGAAACAGATGGTGAGGAAGGAAAGGGAGGAGTTAGAGATGGACCAAGTGAAAGTGAGGACAGGGTGGAAATTGGAAGCAAAATCGATAAACGTTTCTAATTCCAGACAAAGAGGGATGTAGCACCAATAATATCATCTATATACCAGAGAAAGAGTTGTGAGTGGGGGCTGGAACAGGACTGGAACAAGGAATGTTCGATGTAACCCATAAAGAGACAGGCATAACTGGGGCCCTGCGGTTATCCATGGCCACCTCTCTGACTTGAAGTCAATGAGAGGAGTTAAAAAAGAAATTGTTCAGGGTGGGGATAAGCTCAGCCAGGCAGAGGAAGTTGGCAGTGGATGGGGTTGATTCAGGCATTTGTTCCAGAAGAAGCAGAAAGTCCTGAGACCATCCTGGTTGGGGGTAGATGTGTAAAAGGATTGCATGTCCATGGTAAAGAGGAGACGGTTGGAGCCCACAAACTGGAAATTCTGAAACTAGTGTAAAGCATCAGAGGAATCACAGATGTAAGTGGACAGGGATTGGACCAGGGATTAAAAATCTGAGTCAAGGCAGGAAGAGATGAGTTCTGTGGGCAGGAGAAACAATGGGTCTACCCAAGCAGTCCTGTTTGTGGATTCTGGGAAGGAGGTAGAAGTGAGCTGTGCGGGTTTGGGATATTATCAGCTTGGAAGCAGTGGGGGAAAGATCACCCAATGAAATGAGGCTGGTGACCGTAGTGATTGCTTCATACTGGGAAATGTTTTAATAATAGATGACTTTAGGTAGAAATAGAGAAAACGCCTATTTTATCACTACAGTGGAAGAGGCCTGAGGGACCCATCTAAGTGGCTTCAGCTAAGAAAGTCACAATTAATTTGTGTCTAGAGAGAACTTAATGGTAACCATGTCTTAGGCTATTACAGCTAAGTGTATGTATTGTCCTTCTCATGCAGACTCCTGCCTCCTGATTGTCCCTTCATGGATTCTATACTCCTTTGGTTCTCTAGGACATTAGATATTTGCACTCACCCTCTTTATAAACTGCACTATCTTACTAGTTCTACTGATTTGCATTCCTTGCTTCCCTAGTTTATCCTTAACTTAGAGTGAATTACTGTAAGCTAAGGACAGTAATCCAGTAAATGCTTTATTTGCACTATGCTATACTTATATGTTTCACTTCTGCTCCTCTTCATGTCGTGGTCACATTTCTGTCTGCTGTACCAATGTGACAGTTTCATCACATTTGATATCATGAAC